ATTCTAATTATTAATGAAGAGGCAGGTGCTAACAGCGTATGATAAAGTCTAGACGTTTCCGCTTGTCAAACATAAATCCATACAAAGGCTTGCCCCTGCACCTGCTCTCTTATTTCATGCTCACCTGCCTTGCACTTTCCACCTCAGTTACGCTAGGAGGATTAGACCTTACTTCAGCATTCCTCTGAGCTGTGTCCCATGTCGCTTCTTCCTGTGGAAGTGCCCCTCCCACAGTCTAGCATCTGTGCACCCCAGTCTCCCTCAATCTCTCTTCCACAAGGCTGGCCACGGGTCACACTCCCTTCTTCTCGGCTGTTCCACTGTATTTTCCATCTCCGCTTGTCAAACATAAATCCATACAAAGGCTTGCCCCTGCACCTGCTCTCTTATTTCATGCTCACCTGCCTTGCACCTTCCACCTCAGTTACGCTAGGAGGACTAGACCTTACTTCAGCATTCCTCTGAGCTGTGTCCCATGTCGCTTCTTCCTGTGGAAGTGCCCCTCCCACAGTCTAGCATCTGTGCACCCCAGTCTCCCTCAATCTCTCTTCCACAAGGCTGGCCACGGGTCACACTCCCTTCTTCTCGGCTGTTCCACTGTATTTTCCAAACATTACTAAAAGTGCCTATAGCACAGTCTTTCACCTTCTTATTTAAGTGTCCACCTTCTTTTGCTGGACTGGAAATTCTTTGATGGGAAGGACTCTCTCCTTATGTCCTCAGTGCCAAACAAATAGACATTTGTTAAATTGATGTAAAAGTGCCCAGGAGGTAGAGGGGCTAGTTCTTAGCAGAAGAAGCTTGGACATCTGGACATAATCTGAGAAACAATCTGTTCTCCATTGCTTATAATAAAATAACTGAGACTGGGTAATATATAAAGAAAAAAAGTGTATTTCTTACAGTTTTGGAGGCTGGGAAGTCCAAGGTCCAGGGGGCACATCTGGTGAGGACCTTCTTGGTGGAGGCTTTGTGAAAGGTCCCGTGGCATTGCAGGGTGTCACATGGTGAGAATGGCAAGAGTGCTCTAGCGTGCTCGCTTGCTCTCCCTATAAAGCCACCACTCTACTCCCTGATATCCCATTAAACCATGAATACATTACTCCATGAATGGATTATTCCACTCGTGAGAACATAGTCCTCATGGTCCAATCACCTCTTAAAGGCCCCACCTTTCAAATACCATAACTGGAGTTCCCACCCCCTTAACATTTTACAGTGGGGATCAAGTTACCAACACATTAACTTTTGGGGGACACATTCAACCCATAGCAAAGGGAGAGGGTCTGGACTTGGCACTGGGCAACAAGAAGAAGGGCTGAGTCCAAGAGACACTGTAGAAGATACCACCACATAGGATCAAATGAGAGGAAGGAGCCAGATGTTCTTCATATTCGGGGTCCCATGACCTGGTTTATGTCCTGGCTTTGTCACCCACTAGCTGTGTGGCTTTGGAAAATTAATTTAGATGTCTTTCTTTTCCACTTAAAGTATACATATGTGTATAAATACTATGTATTATACATTATATGTATATATATTCTAGATATTATCTATCCACTATCTATAAAGTACAGATAATGTTAACTCTTTTTTTTTTTCTTCTTCCCCCCTTTCACTTTTTTTATCCTTTCTTTCATACCAGTAAGGGTAAAAGTATATTATTTCTGAAGCCGTGCTTGCTTTAGATAATTCTAAAGAGCTGATACAGAAACTTTCTATTCCAGGGCTGGCCCGGTGGCGCACTGGAGAATGCGCCGCTTGAGAGTGTGGTGGCGCTCCCGCCGAGGGTTCGGATCCCATGTGGTGACCAGTTCCCGCTCACTGGCTGAGCGTGGTGCGGGCGCAACACCGAGGGTTGCAATCCCGTTGCCAGTCCCTGGTACGGGCACGACACCGAGGGTTGCGATCCTGTTACCAGTCAGTAAAAAAGACAAAAAGGAAAAAAAAAAAAAGAAACTTTCTATTCCATAATGTAGGGCCCAGAATGGGAATTGATGACTGACAAGATTACAAATACACTCATTTTTTTCCTCATCAAAAAATGCAGTAACAGTAGCTATTCTGAGTTGCTGTAGACGTGAAATCCTGTTGGTTACATTGGAGGGTTGATACCACTGGCCTTATTTTCTGGAAATGTCCCGTCTCATCAGGTGAGTCTTGTCCTTAGTCATCAGAGGGCAGAGGACCTCTTTGGTTCCAGGGATTCTCTAGATTAAGGATTCTTAACAGGACCTTGATCTCCATGAAATTAATGCAAATATTATAAGCACTTTAAGAAATTGTGGTAAAAAAAATGCATAACATGAGATCCACCCTCACAACAAATTTTTAAGGGTACAGTATAGGATTGTTAACTACAGTCAAAATGTTGTATTACAGATTTCTAGCACATTTTCATCTTGCATGACTGAAACTTTTTACCCTTGAGTAGCAATTCCTCATTTCCCTCTGCTCCTAGCCCCAGAAACCACCATTCTACTTTTTGTTTCTATGAGTTTGACTGCTTTAGATACTTTAAATAAGTGGGATCATGCAGAATTTGTCTTTCTGTGACCAGCTTATTTCACTTAGCATAATGTCCACTGCTGTGGAAAACAGTTTGGAGGTTCCTCAAAAAATGAAAAATAGAACTATCATATGATCCAGCAATCTCTCTTCTGAGTTTTTACCCAAAAGAATTAAAATCAGGACCTGGAGGATATATTTCCAAGTTTTTGCAGAATTATTCACAATAGCCACAAGATGGAAATAACCTAAATGTCCATCAACAGATGAACAGATAAAGAAAATTTGGTACTTGCATACAATGGAATATTACTCAGCCATAAAAAGAAGGAAATCCTGTCATATGCTCCAACATGGATTACAGCCATGCTTGAAGGAAAAATTTGGGAGAAGCAGTCTGTAGCTTTTTGTCCTATTCTCAAGGGGATCTGAGATCCAAAGGTAAATGTCACCACATTAGGGCAGGCCTAACCCAGAACAAATTTGAGATAAGTTAAATTTGCCTTCATCCTTCCATGTTTGTGCCTGCTCCAGATAATTAATGTGCTCATGACCTTCCTTTCCCTGCCCACCGTCTAAAACGTCTTCCTCTGTAGTTTCTCACTCTAGTCTGCTCTTTCTAGTTAGAGGCTCAGTAGAGAGCTACCATCCTGTCTTATGAAAACATACTTATCCCATTTTCTCTGAGCACTGCTCTTTGCTAGGGAACTGAAGATGAACTGAGCCTAGATACAATGGCTTGCCTTTCTAGATGTGAATGTTTCTGCAGGGAATTTCAATGACCTAAACCGGTGAAAGCAAATAGTGGAGATTTGGGGCACAAGGGCAAGTCTGAGTGGTGAAAGAGATCATGATGGGAAGCTCTTCTCAGCCCTTCTAGATCATAGGATGCCTTCTCCACGTGCAAGACAGATCAACCTACTTGAAAAAAGAGGACACAAATCCATTTAACAATGTCACAGAAAATTATTTTCTGCATTTTCTTGAAAGTCTCCTTAAAATTAATTTTTTTTTTTTTTGGTACGAAATGTAGTCATATCTTAGGACCAAAGTTTCAGTGGTTAGGGTTCTCTTGGGTTTTCTCTCTTTGGTAGGAAATGTAGTCATATCTTAGGACCAAAGTTTCAGTGGTTAGGGTTCTCTTGGGTTTTCTCTCTGTAAGACACTGTGGCCAGAGGTTTCTGTCATATATGACTGAAGAATAAATCCTGGGTGAAAGTTTAACCTTTTTCCCCCTAAACATTCAGGACACTTCTCATGGACCTAGTTATTTCTGAAGCAGTTCTCTAGTAACATGACAAGGATTTGGTAGTGAGAAAAGAAATTCCAAATCTGTTTGACTTATAGCTCCCATCTGCCTTTTAGTGAGTTTAATTTTTTTAAGGTGTCTTAGTCTGTTTTGCTCTGCTATAACAGAATACCTGAGATGGAGTGTTTATAATGAACAGAAATGTATTGGCTCACAGTTCTGGAGGCTGGGAAGGTGCTTGCATTTGGCAAGGGTCCCTTGCTGTGTCCTCACATGGTGGATGGTGAGAGGGTGAGAGAGAGGGCAAGAGGTGGCCAAACTCACTCTTTTATTTTATTTTATTTTTTAAATTTTTTTGTCTTTTTCTTGACTGGTAAGGGGATCGCAACCCTTGGCTTGGTGTCGCCCGCACCGCGCTCAGCCAGTGAGTGCACCGGCCATTCCTATATAGGATCCGAACCCGCGGCGGGAGCTCACTCTTTTATGATGGTACCAATTCCACCCATGAGGGTGGAGCCCTCAGGGCCTAATCGTCTCTGAAGGGTCCCATCTCTTCATAGCATAAGGGAGATCTTACTCTTTTACATGATCCTTAGTAAAACTTATGTAATTCATATAATGTAGACTGCTAGTACATAGCTACATTGGGAAGTTTGGGTATTTCCTATCGATGTTATGTATTGAATAAACTCAAGTATATTCTGTGTAGAATACTTTCTTGGAATTTAAATTGCTTTCTTTTAAAAAATTTATTTATTATTATTATTTTTACATTCTAAGATGTTATTGTGGAGCAGTTAGGGGGAGGGAGGAGAGGGGAAAGGGAAGGGGGATATGGTGGGAGAAGGAGGAAAGGGGAGTGTGGTCCAAGCCTGTGGCACCCTTCTCATTCTGGCAGGGGAGCCCTGGGCACTTCCAGTGGTGGCTTGGTGGTCATCGTTGGGCTGGATGAGGATGTTGGTGTGGTGTGGCTGAGGCCCTCAGCATCCCCCACCACAGCTTGGGAGCCACCAGTGCTTCTGACAGCAGCCTGATGGTCATCGCTGCGCTGGATGGGTGGGTGGGTGGGCGGGGGGTGTTGCATGGCTAAATTACTTTCTGATTTAGGAACTAAGGAGAAGCTTGTAGTCATTGGCTTAGAGATTGATTACATAGAATTTGCAGAAATAGTGCTTCTCATTTCCAACTTTATTCCCATTTTACACCAATTTTTTTTTCTTACATAACAGATGTGACATCTGAATATTTCTCTCTTGTTGCTGGCATAATCAACTTTGTCAAAGAGTCATATGGTTTGTGCAACCATAAAGATAGTCTTGGAACACTGATACATGTAAGGTTAATTTTAAAAGCCTGTGAAAATAGTAGAAAGCAGATGGAGAGTTGCCATGGAAATCATTAACACTTAGAGGAAGAAAAATGTTACTTTAGGGTTATTGTCATTTCCAAAGGAATAGTCAGAGTTGCAAGACTTTTTCCCCTCACCCAATTGTTAGTAATAAAAACAGTTGCTGGCATGTAAATATATTTTTCATTCACTTATAATTTTACACAACCTTTACTGTATTCTGAATACATTACAAGTATGCACATTTTTGTTGGTAAGGATTTTTCAGTAGCAGGAGAGAATTTAACTTATTCACCACAATTTAAAATCAGAATTGTTCTTTTCCATTTTTCTGAATGTAATTGTGGCTTATGAGTTTTTGTTCTCCCTAATGGGTTTTTTATCTTGATATTGCAGAATATTTAGTCTCAGAATTACATAGTCTTTAAAGGAAGATGACTCAAATTTACGGATTAATTGTACTAATTGGCAAAAATAGAGACTTAAGTCTGGATAACTCAATAAAAGTAATTAAACAATTGTTTAGGCCAGATTCTTTATTAGAATTTATAATTGCTGGACACTGCTCTTTACCGTGGCTTAATCATAGAGAAAGTTAAAAAGTCCCATTGGGAAGTCATTTGCACCAGCAAGTATGTCCCACCTGATGGTTTTATATATTCATTACCATGCCCTTTGGAAAAGTCAGTAACTAAATTCTAATTCTTTCTTCTTTCTTCTAAGGCAATTTTAGTTGCTGTGGTTCTGATGGAACAGAATAATCAAAAGTGGGAAAGAATTAGAGTTGGGACCAGGGGGGATTTGGAACATCCACATAACATTTAATAAAATGTGAAGTTAAATTAATGCTGTTTTTGACCTTGAAAATGAAATATCAAGAATAAAAGGATAAATATCTATTATTCCAATTTGCAGTGGGAATTCATTAAAATTGGTTCCTTTGCAAAACACTAAAATCACACAATGAAATTCAATGGGAGTTTAAAATGAGAATGTGGGGATCAAAGCAAAACCATGCTAAATTTTTTAAAGAATGCAGATGGATTAGCATCTAAATAGTCTTTTTTTTATTTTTTAGATTTGGATGGAAAATTGCCTTTCTGCAATTGTGTTATGGCTACATTGCAATTAGGAAATGGAAAATGAATATCTGAGATCCAACAAAATCTGGTCTCATCAGCATCAGAACCATGTATGGAAAGAGAAAACAAAACACAGACTTAAGAGGATGGCAAAAAAGAAAGACCAGCAGGAATGGAAAAAATACTCATAAGTGGTGCAGTTGAACTTTGGGAATAAACCAGCCTTAGCAAAAATTACAGCATTTGTCATTTGTGAGTGTGCAGTGATTTAGTTGGCTTCATACCTAAGCTAGGGGTTCTTGAGATCCCGCATTTGTTGGAGTCAAAGAAAAAACAGTATTTCTCTTGTGTAAAATGCTTAGGGAATTTTAAAAAATGTTTATTGAAGTATGACGTACATACAGAAACATGCACAGACCATGGTACGCAGCTCAATCGATTTCTACATAGGGAAGTTACTTGTACGTAGAGCAAGAAAGAGACAAAAAAATGTTTATTGAAGTATGACGTACATACAGAAACATGCACAGACCACGGTACGCAGCTCAATCGATTTCTACATAGGGAAGTTACTTGTACGTAGAGCAAGAAAGAGACTATTTCTAGAAGCCCAGAGCCCACTCTGTTACAACCTTCCAGTCATCATAGCCCCAAATATAACCGCTGTCCTGACTTCTAAACCATAGAATAGTTTTGCCTGTCTCTGAAATTTATATAAATGTAATCATAGAGGGTGTACTTTAAAAAAGAATTTGTCTCTTTTAGCTGAATGTTGCGTTTGTGAGATTTATTCCTGTTGTTGCATGTAACAATTGTTCATTCATCATTGCTCTGTGGTATTCTATTATATGACGAGTCTGCATACTTTTGCTAATACTAACAATGCTGCTGTGAACATTCTTATACATGTCTTTTAGGAAACAGAGGTACACATTTCTTTGTGTACATACCTAGGAGTGGAATTGCTGGGTCATGTAGTAGTCATCTTTAGTGGAAACTGCTGAATAGATTTTCCAAAGTAGTTTTATGTGAATTCTACTTGCTTCTCATCCTTACCAACTCTTGGTATTGTTATTTTTATTTTTTGCCTTGATGGCAGATTGTAGTGATATCTCATTCTATTTCAACTAAAGAAGTTGAGCCCCTTTAGACGGATATATTTATTGACCCTTTGAATACTCTCTTTTGCAAAGTGCCTACTAAAGTTTCTTGCCCAGTTTTTCTATTAGATAGTCAGCATGTTTCCTACCGGTTGTTGTCAGCAAGATGTATTGCAAACACCTTTTCCCACTCTGGGGCTCAACTTTTCACTTATTATTTTTTTCTTTTTTCCACTATGTTTTCTTTTTTCAAAAATTTTAATTGTACATATTTGTGGGGTACAGTGTGTTTCAATACATGCATATATTGTACAACGATTCACTTAGGGTAGATAGCACATCCATCACCTAAACATTTATCTTTTCTTTTTGGTATTTACATTCAAGATCCTTTTTTCTAGCTATTTAGAAATATGCAATACAATATTAGCTATAGTCACCCTAGAATACCAGAACTTATTCTTCCTGTGACTTCGTACCTGTTAACCCACCTCTTCTCCCCCACCTTCCTCACTCTCCTTCCTTTCTCAGTCTCTGGTAACCATTGTTTTACTGTATATTTCTATGAGAACCACTGTTTTTTTTTTTTTTGATTCCACATATGAGTAAGACCGTATGGCATTTGTCTTTCTGGGCCTGGCTTACTTCCCTTACATATGGTCTCCAGTTCGATCCATGTTGCTGCAAATGACAGGATTTAATTTTTTTGAATAGCTGAATAGTATACCATATTTTTTTTTATCCATTTCTCCATTGATAAATATTTAGGTTGGTTCCATCTCTTGGCAATTGTGAATAGTCCTGAAATGAACATGGGAGTACAGCATCTCTTCAATATATTAATTTAATTTCCTTTGGATATATATATATATGCCCAGTAGTGGGATAGCTGGGTTATAAGGTAGATCTATTTTTAGCTGTTTGAGAAACTTCCATACTGTTCTGCATAATGGCTGTACTAATTTACATTCCCACCAACAATGTATGAGAGTTCCCTTTTCTCTGCATCCTTGCCAGCATTTGTTATTTTCTGTCTTTTTGATAATAGCCATTCTAACTGGGGTGAGATGATATCTCTGTGGTTTTGATTTGCATTTCCCTGATGATTAGTGATGCTGAGCATTTTTTCATGTACCTGTTGGGTATTTGTATGTCTTCTTTTGAGAAATGTATGTTCAGGTCTTTTGCACATTTTTTGATTAGGTTATTTGGTTTTTTGCTGTTGAGTTGTTTGTGTTCTTATGTATTCTGGATATTAGCTCCTTGTCTAATGTATGGTTGGTAAACACTTTCTCCCATTCTGTGGGTTGTCTCTTCACTTTGTTGATTGTTTCCTTTGTTGTTCAGAAGTTTTTTAGTTTGATGTAATCCCATTTGTCTATTTTTGCTTTTGTTGCCTGTGCCTTTGTAGTTTTGCTCAGAAAAGTGTTGACCAATTTTATGTAGTGTTTCCTCTATAGTTTCTTCTAGTAGTTTGATAGTTTCAGGTCTTACACTTGGTCTTTGATCCACTTTGAGTTGATTTTTTGTGTAAGGTGAGAGATAGGGGTCTAGTTTCAATCTTCTGCATGTGGATATCCTGTTTTCTCAGCACCATTTATTGATGAGGCTGTCCTTTCCCTACTGTATATTCTTGGCACCTTTGTCAAAAGTCAATTGGCTATAAGTGTGTGGGTTTATTTCTTGGCTCTCTGTTTTATTCCATGGATCTATTTGTTGGTTTTTATGACAGTACCATGCCGTTTTGGTTACTATAGCTTTATAGTATATTTTGAAGTCAGGAACTGTGATGTTTCCAACTTTGTTCTTTTTGTTCAAGATTGCTTGGGCTAAACGGGGTCTTGTGTGGTTCTGTACAAGTTTTAAGATCATTTTTCTGTTTCTGTGAAGAATGTCACTGTTATTCTGATAGGGATTGTGTTAAATTTATATTTATATTTATATATGTTAAGATTGCTTTCAGTAGTATGAACACTTTGATGTTCTTCCAACCCATGAACATGGGACATCTTTCCATTTATAGGTGTCTTACTCAATTTTTTAAGTCAATGTTTTATAGTTTTTATTGTAGAAATCTTTTACCTCCTTGGTTAAATTTACTTCTAGATATTTCATTTTTTGGTAACTATTGTACATGGGATTACTTTCTTGATTTCTTTTTCAGATATTTTGTTATCAATGTAGAGAAATGTTATTAATTTTTGTATGTTGATTTTGTATCCTGTGACTTTACTGAATTCATTTATTATTTCTAGCAATTTTTTGGTGGAGTCATTAAGGTTTTCTATGTATATGATCATGTTATCTGCAGATAGGAATAGTTTAACTTCTTCCTTTCTAATTTGGATGCCCTTTATTACTTTCTTTTGCCTTACTGCTCTGGCTAGAACTTCCAGTATGGTGTTGAAATAAGGTTGGGGAACTTTCTACTTCTTAATGATGTCTTTGATGAACAGACATTCTTAATTCTAATTGCCTTGGGTTGAGTGTTCTCCCAAAACCTCGTCCCAACTGTGACAGTGTTAAGAGAGTAGGAAATATGGTAATTGAAAGCTCGGGCCTTGAAGGGGTGATTAGATTATCGGACCATGCCTAGTGAATGGATTAAAAATGGTGGCCCTGGGCATGATTCTGAGGGCTTTAAAAGGAGAGTGCATGAAGAACTATCTCTCTCTCTGCTCCACCATTTTCTGCCATATGAGACCAATGGATCACTGTTGCCACCACCAAAACCCTCACCAGATGTGTTCCCTGGACTTTGGATTCCCCAGGCTCTGAAACTAAGCAATAAATTTCATTTTCTTACAAATTACTCAGTTCCACATATTTTGTAATAAGCAGCAGAAATGGACTAATACATGAATGTAGTACAATTTATCACTTTTGTTTCTCTTATGGTTAACACTTTTTGTATTCTGTTTATGAAATCTTTACCTGTTCAAAGGTTGTAAAAAATTCTTTTATAATTTCTCCTAGAAGCCCTATTGTTTTAGCTTTCACATTTAGGTCTACAATATATCTGGAACTGCTATTTGCATATGGTGGGAGGTAGAGGTTCAAGATAGAAATTTTCCACATATGGATATCCAATTGACTTATATCCAGTTGACCTGTATCTGGTTGACCTATATCTGGTTGACTTAGCAACACTGACTAGGAAGATCATCCTTTTCCTAATTCATTGTATTACTTTTGTCATAAACCAAGTGAACTCCTTTCTTTTCCATTGACTAACATCTATCCTTTCATTAATTCTTTTAATTACTGCAGCTTTCTAATAAGTCTTGATATCTAGAAGTGAAAGACCTCCAGATTTGGTCTTTTTTAAGATTACTTTTAATATTCTTTGCATTACTATACAAATATTTGAATCAGCTTTTCCAGTTTCTTAAGAATATCCAGCTGGGATTTAGGTTGGGGTTGCATTGAATCTGCAGATCATTTTGGGAAGAATTGATAGTTTTACAACATTGAATCTTCCAATCTGTGAATATAATACCTCTCTCCTCCAGCAATATTTTGTAATTATTGGATTAGAGATGTTTCATATCACTCATTAGATTTATTTCTAAGAAATTGATGCTTTTTAAATGCTATTTTTCAAATTTCATCTTCTATTTGTTTGTTGCCAGTATATGCAATACTAGATTATATAGTCATGTTTTTTTTCTAGAATGTTAAGACATTAATAAGGGACAAACATTAATTATTTCTAATATAAAATAGTGAGTATGGGACAAACATTAATTATTTACTTCTAATATAAAATATTCACTATTAATGACATACATATTCAAAAGGTAACAACTAGAGCAAACCTAAAATCTCTGTCTGGTTATGGTTCTTATTTTGCATTGAGCAGAAATGTAACAATTCCTCTTTCTGAAGGTCTTGAATGGTAGAAGAACTCTAGGCCCATGCATGATTTTCCAGATTTTTTAAAAGTTTCTGCAACTTTCAGCTGTTGTTACATATTGCTGGATTTTTGGTGACATTCTAGTGACCAATGACCTTCTCTTGGTAACTAACTAGAACCTTTCTGTATCATCTCTTCCTTTTTGCTTGAGGTAGAAATTATTTTTCTGTACCAGAAAGTCTAGTTTTTTCCCTCAGTGGGAAGAGATTAGGAGCTCC